ACAGGGCCGAGGTCAGAGATTAGGGCGTGAGCAGCACTCGTATGAGCTAGAGGGATCGGGCCGGCAGTCTTGCCCCAGATAAAGGCTGTGCGGGAGATGACCACTGGCACCAGGGTGGAAAGGATGCAGGGGTCTGTGGATGGGGTCTGTGGACGGCTCAGGAGTCATTTTTGATTCTGCAAAGCAGTAGCAGGCCCCTAAACAAATTGTGTAGAAACTGATCAGTGGGAACTTAATTTGCTGTGTAAACTTTCATCATAAATATAATAAAATATTTTAATTTGGAAAAAAAAAAAAAAAAAGAGGCAGTGGTGCCCCTCAGGCATCTGGAACCAAATACGCAAGTGTCAGCTACGTAAGAGGTCCCAGGAAGCCGCCCCTGTAGCCACCCCTTCTCAAGGGCTGCTGGCTCCTCTGAGGGCCTGGAGGGTTGACCTGTGTGCTTAGGAGAAGCCCCCCAGCTCCCCACCCCCCACCACACTGCACCCCACCTTTCGCTGCCTGGTGCCCTGGGGCGGGACAGTCCCCAGGCCTGGTGTCCAGCTTGACTGGCAGCCAGGGAACACCACATGCCCAGAGGGGGTTTACAGGACCACACAGTCAGTCCCCCAGCCTCCCCACAGGCTAGCTTTACCTGTCAATGAACCTGCCAAAGCTCGCAATTAAAATCAGACGGGACAGTGTTTGTCAGCCTTCATTCTCCTTGGTGTGGAGACTGAGAGGTGCTTAGCCTGGGGAAAGAGAGGACACGGTGCCTCCCAGGGTCGGTCTGAGCGGCTCTTCATTCTGTTTCCCCAACTGGGCATCCGGTTCCCCTCCAGCGGGGACCCCCACCCCCTGACCCGGAGCACACTGTCTGGCTCTCAGCTGACGGTGTCAAACCAGCACCTTGGTCCGAGGCCTGACCGCAGTTAAAGACAGATGCTTTAGGAGAACAGCTGTGACAATGAACAATGAACAGGCCTTCGTAGGAAGGGCTTATCGGTGGGACCAGGAAGAAGGAACACTCAAAATGACAGAAGCAGAAAGGAAATGTGTTAGTCTTTACTAATTATTACTAATTGAAAAACAGTGTCGATGGTATGTCATTTATCACTACCAAAGATGAAAAGACTTGAGAATATTCAGAATTGGGGAGGGGAGACGTTGTCTCAAACTGCTGGTGAAAGGATAAATTGACGCACCAATCTCTGCCATACGATTGTTCGGGCTGCTATGAGTGTTATAAACATACGGAAACTGTAGACTATGACAGGGCATTCTCGTGGCACAGTGGATAAGGCATTTGGCTGCTAACCAGAAAGTCAGTGGTTCAAACCCACCAACTGCTCCAGGGGAGGACAATGGGGTGATCTACTTCCCTAAAGATTTATAGCCTTGGAAACCCTGCTGTGGTCACTGTGAGTCGAAATTGACTCGGTGGCACTGAGGTTGGTTTTGAGTTTATAGAGTATAATATGCAGACAGCAAAAATATTGTTCCAGAAACACTTCTAGTGACATGGGGAATGTTCATGCTATACTGATGTTTACAAAACAGAATACAAACCTGTATTTATGTGATCTCAACTAGTTAAGACAGCATCCGACAGGGAAATATGAGAGGGCAGGACCCCACGGGTTCCTCTGGGTCTCACAGGCTTTCCACCTTTGACAGGGACAGGCTGCAGTCTGACCACTTTCCTGTTGTTCGTTTATTGGAATATACTTGCATATATTCCTGCTCTGACAGGTTTCTGTCTTGTACAGTGGGATGGTTCAGGTTATATGTGCACTTGGCTGGGCCAGGATTCTCAGTGGCTTGGCAGCTATGTAATGATGTAACTTGGCAGTTATATAATGAGTGGGCACGCTCCATGTTGCAATCTGATGTAATGACCTGCATGATATGATCTGATATGATCAGCCAATCAGCTGTAAGTTTCCTCAGGGGTGTGGCCTGCACCCAGTATATAGGGATGTTCTGGGTGTTCACTGGCTTTTCCGCTCGCTCTGGGTCCTCGTCCAGCTCCTCCTCATCGGCGCTCTGGTTGGTGGGACTTAAGCCAGCAGCCTGCCCTACTGCCTGCTGACCACCGGCTTCTGCAGCCTGTCGGCCAGCGGCCTGCTCTCTGATCTGCCGATCTCAGATTCCCAGCCCCCGCAGCCTCCAAGCTGACCTCTGATTCACTGACTCGGGACTTGCCAGCCTCTACAGCCACGTGAGCCATTTCCCTTGAGATAAATCTCTCTGTGTATAAATGTGTCAGCTTCACTGGTTTTCCTTCTCTAGAGAACCCAGCCTAAGACATTTGGTACCAAGAGTGGTTCGTTCTAGAGAAACAAAATTGTAAGGATGACTTTTGTAAATTGGTTCTCAAGTCTGACTAGGTTTAAAGGTGCTGATGACTGCCTGTCCCATTAGTAAAGAGGGCACTCCTAATCCATGGCCTGCGGTGGCAATGTTGCTACGCAAAATAGCACCACTGGCAGATCAAGCATTGGTGAGAAGTGAGGCATTGGGTGATCACGTGTTTGATACTTTTCTACAATTCTGCCAGGATGAGAACTATATACGGACAGTTGGTCCTACTTACGCTAGACCAGTGGTGAAAAGAAAGAGATGACCAGGAGGCCCGTGGCTTACTTTTAAGCCAAAAACAGACATGCCGATAAGGTGAACAGTTACACCAGGGAGGTACACACTCCTTAGAACCATCAACCACATGCATTCGAAAGGGCAGCCTGTGTGTCCAGGAACAAAGCTCAGACGTCAGGGAGGGACAGGAAAGAAGGAAGCGGGAAGAGCTGGTACTTTGTGGGGATTGCAATCAGTGTCACAAAGCAAACTGTGTCTGAGCTGGTGAATGGAAAACCAATTTGTTCTGTAAACTTTCACCCAAATCACAATTTAAAAAAAAAGAGAGAGGTGTGCTCAGGGCTCTCGTGTCACAGCTCACTCCCCCAGGAAAGACCTCCAAGTCGCCACTGGTGCCTGAGAGCAAGCCTGAGGATACAGGTTCTGGCCAGTCGCTTCTACTGCCTGAAGTCACAGGCGATTCCATCCTCCCTGCCCACTGCCACGCATTTTCCTGCTTTTCCACAGTCAGCATGCGCTACTTGATTGTAAACAGGAAAGAGTCCATCCAAAATGTCAACAGTGAGTCAGCATTCAGCGCCTGCCCTGTGAAGGAAGCACAGCTCCTTTATTGTCCCAGAGCATTAAAAAGCTCACTAGGTGAGAACGTGATTACCAGGAGTGTGATAAGCCAGAGGACAGGCGCCTGCAACAGCAGAGCCGGGGGCATGTGGCAACAGGGTGCTTGCAGCCAACTGCCCAGAGGTTCCCACCACGAAGCCCTTAGAGAAAGCAGTGGGTATGCTGCCACCATCCAGACGCGAGCTCCTGCCACCTGTCCACTTGTCAGAGAAACATGCAACATCCCCATGTCGAGGGCTGAGCGCTGGGGCGTCTCACCGAGACACAAAACACAACCTCTGCCCTGAGGAAGCTTGGCTGACTTGAGAAGAAATAAGTAAAGGTTGTTGTTGTTGTTGTTATGTGCCGTCCGACTCACAGCGACCCCTCCTTGGGTTGCCGAGGCAGTATCACTATGGAAGTAGATTGCCCAACCTTCCTTCCGTGGAGTGGCTGGTGGGTTTGAACCACCAGCCTTCTGGTTAGCAGTCAGGTGCCTTAGGCACTAGGCTACCAGAGCTCCCAAGTAAAGGATAGGACATGGCATTTTCACCCATTAAACCTATGCTGTACCCCTTCTGTATGTCAGGCACCATGCTGGGGAGAAAATAGGCCCTCGGAGACCCAGAGCCTGGGGCTGCTCGTGGCTAACCCGCTGTAGGCTGAGGAGCGGCTGGACGACAGGCCCAGAAGAAGGCCGGGGCTGGGGGAGAAGAGCGGCTGGCAGGAGTGGGCAGGTGCAGACTCAGGAAGCGGGGCTGAGGGCCGAGTGTACAGTCAGGCTGTAAGTCAGGCGGGGGTGGAGGGTCACGCACACCAGGCCTGACCCCTGAACCAGTGCATGCCGAGTGAGAAGGGGAAAACGGGAATTCGGGACTACCACCACCTCCGTGTGCCTGGCCACCAGCTTTTAAATCCCACTTTTACTCAGTCTCCACTTAAACCCCCTAAAAGGTTGGTGGGAAGATGAGGTTGTGGACACAAAGGGGCCGGGCCACACAGTATGAGCTATAGTCCCCTCCTGTCCAAGGAACCACGCTTCATTTTTGAATTGAGCTGTTTTCAGGTCAAAACTGTGTCCCAGCTGTGATGGTTTGGGGACCCAGATGTAATAGGCTTATCCAGGGAAACAAGAGGCAGTGCCAGCCCAGTCACACCTTCCCGCCTGGAAATCATTCCACACTGTCAAACAACGCCGTCCACTAAAAACACATGCGAAGACATAAGTGTTCCCGTGGGCATTTTTCTATACAGCTGCATTGGTTAAGACGTCCCATCACCCGAATCCAACAATGTCTGGCCTACAGACACCTCTCTTCTCTGCTAAGCCTCTGTAGCAGGCCTGAGTGCCCTCATGGGAGGAAATCCTCACGATGAAACAATGGTCTGTCCTATTTAAGCTGCAGCAAAGGTTGGTAAAGGGTTCAGATGCTGCAGGCATTCCAAGCTGCTGGGAGGAGTTTCTGGGGAGTGCAGACTGGAAAGTGCTGGCTACTAACTAAAAGGTTAGAGGTTCTGGTCCACAGGAAGGGCTGGCAATCAACTTCAGAAAGGTCAGCCCCCGAAAGCGTGTGGAACACAGTTCTGCTCTGACACATGGGGTGGTCAGGAGTCTGAGCCGACGGACAGCCACTGGTAAGCCTCTGAGAGAGACTCCAGACGGCTCTGAGGGGCAGCTGCCGGCTCCGAAAGGGCGGCTTACGTGGCTTGTCCTTTGGCCCCTGCCTTTGTGGGATGCCAGGGACAATAGGAGCTGGTGGAGGGCCGGGAAGGAGGGGGAGCTGAACTCTGACGAGGTGCTTCCCCTCAGGTGCCTGGAGAGAATGGCCATCCCAAAGCCGTGGCAAGGCAGCCACCTGCACTTCCTGGGCGTCATGGGCCTCGCGGTGGCCGTCATTGTCCTGCTCTTCTATGCCCTGCTCTGGAAGGCCGGCAACCTCATCGAGCTGCCCGACCTGCGCATCGGCTTCTACAACTTCTGCCTGTGGAACGAGAGTGCCGGCCGCCTGCACTGCCACCAGCTCCCCGAGCTGGAGGCCCTGGGCCTGCCCGGGGCTGGCCTGGCCCTGGCCCGGCTGGGGGTCTATGGGGCCCTGGTCCTCACCCTCTTTGTGCCCCTCCCTCTCCTCCTGACCCGGTGCAAGGACGGCAGGGAGGAGTGGCAGCTGGCCGTGGGCTTCCTGGCGGCCGCCTCGGTGCTGCTGGCCAGCGGCCTAGGCCTCTTCCTGTCCTTCACGTGGCGGTGGCTCTGGCTGGCCCTGCTGGGGCCAGGGTTTCTAGCTTTGGGCACTGCCCAGGCCTTGCTCATTGTCTTGCTTACAGTCACAGCTGCGTTCCCTCTGGGGACGAGGAACAACAAGAGCCAGTGTGAAAACTGCTAGTCCTGTCTAAAGCTCATGAGACTGCGAGGGTGTGTTCAGTTTGAACTGTGCTCAGTGGGTACCGGAGAACTCACAGGCTGGTCTCTCTTCTTGGCCACTCCGTGTCACAGCTAGTGCTGATCACAAGCATTAACTGAGGGGACTTGCTGCAGAAGGGGTGGGCACCTGGGGCCCAGGCAGCCTCAGTCTCGGCTGCAGAACCAAGGCCATGGACTGTTACCAGGCAAGAGATGGGCCAGTGGGTCGTGCAGCTGCCCAGTTCAGTGGGCTGTGCTTCCGAATCTCCAAGATCCCCTTCCCCAAAAAAATAGGCGGCTTGCTGTCACATGAATATCTGCTTTAATTAACCTGAGCAAACCCTTCCTACTGTATGTATCCTCAGGAGGGACTCCTGTCACGGGGCCGATGTCCAGCAAGACTGAACACTGACAAAGTGGAACCCAAAGGTTTATGGGATCCTAAGACAGAGCACTCACTGTCCCCCAGGCCCAGATCCCAAGCTGTCCTACTCCCCCATCATGCTCCACGCTCCAGCTGCTCCCAAGGGTGGGCTGTGAGGAGCCCTGCCCAGCACCTCCACCTCCAGAGCTGGCCTCGTGGGCCCAGGAATGACCTCTGAGGATTCACCCTCCACACGACACATGGGGCAAGGAGAGCAGTCTGGGTGGCCCTGGAGGGTCCTTTGCAAACCCCGTACCTCAAGGCAGACAGACAGGGGGTCAGCTGGCTGATCCCTTCTCCTTGTCTGACCTGGGATGGGGGAGGTGAGCAGGGTGGAGCCCCAGACAGACCAGTGCTGGGTCCCCAGAGGACAGTCGGTGTGATGGTTCATGTTACATGTGGACTTGGCTAGGCCACAGTTCTCAGTATTATTTATTCAGCCTCCGCTTTGTGGTATGATGTACAGGGACTTTCCTTGGGGCTGTGGCCCACATCCAACATCTGTGGCCGAGCTGGCAAAGCTCACCAGCTCGCCACCCCCCATCCAACTCATCGTCCTCTGACCCGTGGTCCTTGGGGTGTAAGCCAGCAGCCTGCCGTCTGACCTGACTCTGGCTTCATCGTCCCCTGCAACCACATGAATCAGGAGAGGCCTCCAGCCTGTAGCCTGACCCCTGGACTGGGGGCTTGCTAGCCTCTACAACTGTGTAAGCTATTTCCTTGAAATAAATCCCTCTGTGTATACACCAAAAACCCACTGCCATCAAGTCAGTTCCAACTCAGAGAGACCCCGTAGGACAGAGAACTGCCCCACAGGATTTCCAAGGCTGTAATCTTTACAGAAGCAGACTGCCTCATCATTCTCCCATGGAGTGGCTGGTGGTTTGAACCACTGACCTTCTGGTTAGCAGCCGAGTGCTTTACCCAGTGTGCCACCCGAGCCCCTTTCTCTGTATATACTTTATACGTACATATATGGGTGCATAGATCCCTCCCTGGTCTTGCTGCTCCCGTCAGGGGCCGCATGCTTAGCCAGACCTTGTGCTGGAGAAAATGGACAGTGGGTGACGGCCTCAGCCCATGCCGTCAGAGCCACACTGCAGCCAAGACTGATGCCCGGGGCTCTGTGTCATTTCTGGTCCCAGCGTCACCTTCGGGCCCAAGAAAGTATCCCAACCCAAACAGAGACCAGCAGGTGGGAAGGCCAGTCCCCTTCACACCAGGCGCCTGGAGCTGTGGACAGACAGACTTACTGAGGGACTGACTGCTTGACGACCCTGCAGTGAACCTTCCCTAACCTCCCTGGAGAATGTCCCCTGCTCAAAAGCCAGTTCTCTTTGCAAATGTTAATTCAACTCTTCAGTTACATCAGTTTGACCCCATGATCTCTTCCTTCCTGGACCCTGATAACTGAATACAACAGCCTGGGGCGTTCAGACCTCGGAGCTGGAAGGGGTCACAGACAAGAGCAAAGGCTGGGGTGGGGGGGCCTCGAGATGCCTCATTCCCACGCTCGGGAAAGCAGGCAGCTCCTAAGGCCCGAGCTCCAGGCTGGTGCACTAGTGGATCTGCCGCCCGGGGGGATGGGAGGCCGCAGGCGGATGGCCCATCAGCACTGCTCCCCTGTAGTTCTCGACAGAAAGCCCTGGCACAGGTGTCCCTCAGCTGAAAAATATCTCCCTGACATACTTCAAGGCATCCTCCTCTTCCTCCCGGCTCTGGCTGTGGGTAGAGTCGGACCCCCGCGGCCCCTGGGAAGGGCCAGGGCTGGGGGGAAGGGTGTTCTGCCCATTGTCCTCGTCTTCACTTTTGCCCCCAGGAGAACACGGTGACCTCACGCCAGTGGCGGGGCGCTGCGGCTTATCAGCTCCGGCCAGGGCCTTCTGCTCCGAAGGCTTTTCCTGTTTGCAGCCCTGCAGAGTGGAAGAAACGGCAGGCAGGGCACGTTGGTTTATTTTCCCAGCCTGCTGGTGTCTGGCCTGACGGAGAGCCTCCCAGGGGCAAGTGGCGGCTGGCATGTGACCTGGCATGTGACCAGGGCACTGCTGCCCAGGCAGTGACTCACCCTCTCTCTCCTGTTTCCCTCCCCGCAACGCCTCCTTAGAGCTCTTCCAGGAGAGAAGGGGGCAGGGGCATGGGAGCCGCTGAGCAGAAAAGAAGAAACAGAGAGAGCATTGTGTCTGGAAAGGCCGGTGGGAGGATAGACACAGCACAGGGAGGCGCAGAAGCCCCGGGTCGGGCCCTGCTCATCTGTCTCGGGCTGTGTCTGCCTCGGTGTCTTCACCTGTAGAATGGGGTCATAAAATGGGAAAGCCCTACTGTGGAGATGAAATAAAAGACTATGTGCAAAAGCACCTGGTAAGCTCTAAAGTGCTGGGCAACGGTGCTTGTTACTCTGAGAGTCACAAAAGCTTAGCAGCTCTGCTGTGGAGAAGGGTGGTGGCTGAGGATGATGGCCTCTGACAGGCCCTTCAGAGAACAGATTGCTAAACACTCGGGACAGACGGGGGCCTGGAAGAAGCAGTCTGACAGCAGCTGAAGAGTGTCCCACACATGCCACCGCAGTTTCTAGTCACAGCATTTGAAAAAGACTTGACTCTGGTACAGTCGGTCTGACCCCATGACCTCCTCTTCCCTGGACCCTGATAACTGAATAGAACACGGTGGGGATTCGAGAGCCCTGGGACCGGAAAGGGCACAGGCAGAGAGGAACCCAAGGGGCCAGGAGATTCACAGTTGCCTCACCTCGATCAGGATGCCCAGGGCAACATCGACGACCTCTGCCTCATTCATGCAGTACACGGTCCTCGTGGCACAAAGTCTGGACAGACAGGAGGTCCGGGATGACGGGCACAGGGAGGGCAGCAGGCTGGCGGCCTCTGACCTGAGCTTCCTCTCCTGTCCCCCAAGGACCACGTGGGAGTTCTGCCGGCTTCCCACCCTCCCACACACACCCCGAATCTGGGCATAGGGACCCATGGCTGCTCCTAAGGGGCAAACAGGGACGCACACACCATGGCCTGACAACCACACAGACAAGCATGCTCAGATGTGACCGGCACGTTCCCGCAGACGCTAACATACTTAAAGGAAGGCAGCAACTATCAGAAAGGAGGGTCAGGGAGTTAAGAAAACACACACACCACCAACAGGGAGGATGCAACCCTCCGATCCTCAGAACAATCAAGAGGGCTGCGTGTGTCCTGGGAGAAAGCCCAGAAGGAGGAAGGGACAGGAAGGGAGGAGGAAGGGACACAGGAGACTCAGTGAGAAGATGCTGTTATGCTGTGGGACTACAGTCAACATCACACACAAAATGTGCACGAATTATTGATTGGAAAACCAATTTGCTGTGTAAAGTTGCACCCAAATCACAGTAAAAAGTTAAAGGGGGAAAAAAAAAGCAGCAGCAGCATGAGAGACAACGCACAGAACACGCCAGAAGGGAGCCCCTGAGGGCCCGGTGTCGGCGAGGAGAGTGGTGCCCTGGCCGGTGGGGTGGGGGGTCCGTGCGGCAGGGATGTCCCACAGTGGCCACCACTCCTCCCATCAGATGCTGGCAGCCTGAAGACCCCTGTAATGACCGTCACCCAGCTAACAGCCCCAGCCCCACCCCCAGGTTCAGAGTCCCTGCAGGCCCAGCAGCTCGCTGCTACTCTGTCTCCCAGAAGGTCTGTCCACAGGGAGACCACAACTAAGGACCACAACTCTAGGGCACCATCCTGCCCACTTAGTGGCTGGTTTCGGCTGCAAACAAACAGATCGGTGTTCTGGACACTGGCCCTGAGAGCGCGGCTCATGCGTGTGAGGGGAGCTGTGTGCTGAGAGGTGGAGCTCTGCGCTGCGGGGTCAGGAGCCCAGTGGCTGAGAGCTCACCTCCCACAGCTGCCGGCAGTCAGCCCCTCTTTACTCAGCCTAACCCTCTCCCCCTCCCACTCTCCACAGGTTGCCCCACCTGGTTGCCGATGCCGTTCTCCTCCTCTTAGGGCTCTTTGCTGACACCACTCTCTTCTCTGTCACCTGGGCTGTCATCCACGCAGGCAGGACCCTATTTTTATTCCCAGACCGTGTGGTTTCCATCTCTTCAGTCCCTCCAGAAACGGAGTCAGGCACGAAGCTTAATGACTTGCTTTTCTATGTCAGGACAGCAAATCCCACCAGGAATTACAGGTCTGTTTGTCCTGCATGGAGTTGAATTCTTAATGCCTAAAAAGAACAAGCCCATTGAACCCTAGTCAGCTAGAATACTTCCGACCATCAGTTGCAATGACCGGTCAGAGCAGGGCAGGCAGACAGGACCCAGGGGAGCAGGGCCCCAAGCAAGAGGGCAAGGGAGTAGCCAGGGTGGGCTTGGGGAGAGCAAGCACTCACACATGTCCTGTGCCTAGTGGTGGCAGTAGTGCAACCGAACAGCCAAGCACCAGGCCACTCACCTGGGTGGGGAGGGGCGGGGAAGCAACCTCCCAAGAGAAAGGAAGGAGGTGGAGCCCTCTGAGGTCCCCTGCTAGAGGCTCACTGTCCCAGGGCGTCCAGATTATCCTACTCAAAAGTCTCTCTAATCTGTCCCCCTCCACTCCAGACCTCTCCTCGCCCCCATTTGGCTTGGTACAAGAAATCTTCAGACCACACTGATTCCTAGTAAGGTTTCGTTGGCTGATATGCCCTTCCATAACCCAAAGACACTTCTGACTGGTCAGCAGTGGGGGTCAGGGATCATAACTGTCCCCCAAAATGGATGAAATCCACATCCAAGGGGGCTTCCCTTTCCCCTACCCCCAGTTCAGCTCTCCAGCCCCTCCGACCTAAAGCTCAAACCCAACCCTAAGAGGGCCTGTGGTCCAAAGGGTCCGAGTCGCTTGCTCTCACTTAGCAATCACCTGGAAAGCAGCTTAGGGCTCCCTCCCAGGAATGACCTCCCTGGAGTGGGGCTTGCCTAGTAGTCGGGAGCTCTGGTAGCATAGTGGCCAAAGCACTTGACTGCTAACCAGAAGGCTGGCGGTTCAAACCCACCAGCCACTCCTCGAAAGGAAGGTTGGGCAATCCTACTATCCGTAGTGATACTGCCTCAGAAACCCAAGGAGGGGTCACCATGAGTCAAGGCCGACTCGACGGCACATAACAACAACACGACCTTAACGTGTACTGCTCATCCAGGACTGTTCACAATATTTCCAAAACTGGGCAGGACAGCGTCATACCCTGTCATTCCTGCCACTGAGGGAGTGCTACTGGGCGCCAGGCAAAACCAGTGCGAAGATGACTCGTGAGCAAGGGCCAGGGCTTGCAACCGGCTCCCACGGCGGTGCCTCCCGACCCTGAGCACGGACCCCAAAGCCTCGGAGACACAGGGTCTGGAGTCCAGGACTCACGGATGTCAGGGCTGGGAGACACCTGCGGAATGCAATCCCAAACCACTCACTGGTTGGACGAAAGCGAGCCTCGCTGAGACGCGAGCCCAGAAGCCGCTGCTCTTTTTAGGGGACGCTCCCTGCACGCCTGCAGGAGGCAGAGGACCGCGATGGGGCCAAGGCAGACGGGGTAACACATCCCCCGGGAACTCGCAGCATCACCCACACTGCAGCTGGCCGAGCAAACACCCAGTCACTCCGGCCGACAGAAGGGAGGCAGCCGGCCCGGGGCCCCGGGCTGTGCTTCGCTCCAGGGTCAGGCCACCTGGCCTCACGCTCTCTTCTCGGCCTTGGGGGGGTGGGGGGCGCGGCGGTGAGGGTCCGCGTATCGCCGCCCCTCTGAGCCCAGTAGACTCGGACGCCGCGGCTTGTGCCCCACACTTCCGGGCTCCGGCGCATCCTCCTCCCCGCAGTTGCGCGTTCCGACGCGTTCCGAGCCCCGCCGCGGCCTCGACTCCCGCGCGCCCCCTGCAGGCAGCCTGGGCTCAGCGCAGACGTAGCGCAAGCTGAGGCCGGAGAGGTCCCGGTAACGCTCCTGGGTCGCTGGTCGGACTTGGTGAAAGTGGCACCTCCCGGGGTGATCCCCGCAAACCCTAAAAGCAGGAACCAAGCTCAACGCTCCCTGCTGGGCCGTGCACCTTGGCTGGGGATGCGCAGGCCGCCCTCGGTGTAGGCAGAGAAGTGAACGCATCTGTTTGCCTAGGTGGCGCAGTGGTTAAAGCATTCAGCTGCGAAGCAAAAAGTCGGCAGTAGGACCCCGCCAGACGCTCCGCGGGAGAAAAAGGAGGCAGTCCGCGTCCGTAAAGATTTCCAGCCTTGGAAACCCTAAGGGGCAGTTCGGTTCTGCCCTGCAGGGTCGCCAGGAGTCGACAATGACTCGATGGCGCTGGGGTCTGTCTTAGGAGAGGGTCCTGCCCTCTGCTGCCGGCCTTCCGGGAGCCGGGCCGCGCCCTGGACCACATCCCGGGTCTGACTGCACCAGCCCTCCAGCCGACCTCCCCCGAGATGCCGCAGCCACAGGGGCACCTGCGTGCGGAGACTCAACAGAACCTTGCGGGCTGCCCCCAACGGCGCCCCATGGAGAGGGCTCTGAAGTGTGGGCTGCAGACCCCCGGCCAATGCGAAAACAACGCCCCTCCGCAGACAGGGGGCGTGGCGCGGCACTCTCCGCACGCGGGGGCCTGCAGTTGGCCCAAGCGCGCCAGCTCCTTCGGAGTGGAAACCAGTCCCAGGGCAGCAGGCTGGCGGGACGCCCAGCCTCGCAGCTGAAATGAATCCAGGAGCTTCATCTTTGGGTTCAGGTGCCGTGGGTTCAGACGCAGGGCGAACCTGGGCTCCGCCTCCTGCCCTTTGGGGAGGGAACTCAACGTGCACACCTGCTCCTCTGCTCCCAGACCGCTAGGGTCCTCGGTTCCCAGGCCAAACCCCAGTCTACCGGGGCTGGGGTGGTGCACTTCCTTTTGTGGATGAACAGAAACCAGCGGCTATTGGCTTTA